GCCGTCTGTCGGGCGGGCGCGGGCCGGGCAGGCGCGCAGGGCGGCGCGCAGGAGCTCCGGGTCAGCGCCCAGGCGGGACGCGCTCTCCGCCCGGCTGACTGCGGACCAGAGAGAGAACGAGCAGGGCTTGTTCTGAACAGAGGACACTGTGCCTCTTAATGGTTCGTGGCCCCAGGCCCCAATTTAATGTCTCACAAGGGAAAATTGCTGCAAAGATAAGCATTCCCGAGCCTTTTAACCGTCGAGGCCGAGTGCCGCAGGCTCCAAGTTCTCAGTCCGCGTCCCTGGGCCGCGGTTATGAGGCTCTTTGCTTCCTGCGGAACAGCCTCGATGCCCACTGCTGTTTGCACAGCCCAGCACGGCTCCACCGCTTCCTTCCTCCTTCACTTTGGGGGTTGATTAGAAAAAACAGGGCGAGGACAATGCCCCAGGCCCCACGGTCAGGGTCACAGGTCTGAGGTCGTTTCATTTACACGGAGGCCAGGGGGTGCCAGGGTGGGAGCCATCAGGTGTTAGAAGAAAGCGTTCAGATGTCCCAAACAGGCCGTCCCCACAGGAACAACTGCTCTCTCCCCACCACACCAGCTTTATATTCTGGACACCCAGCAGGTTTCTACCGTGCTTTGGAACCCATTGCAGTCACAGTGGCCTCAGGATGCCAAGGGCAAGTTAAGGCTCCAAGGGCAGTCGGTCACTTCTGCAGGAAAAGAGAGTTCCAGGGAGGCAGGGTCTGCAAAAGACCCAATCCTCCCCCAGAGTCTGGCTGGTCCCCCGGTTCTGCTCTGTTCCCATCTCTCCTCTCCCAAGAAGCCTAGAGGCTTCAACGACACAACACAAAGTGCCCTCGCCCAGCTCAGAACATCCATCCACTTCTGGGTTGTCACAGGGGGTCTGGCCATGCCTCTCCCTCCACCACCGTCTTTGCCTCTTGAGAAGCTCCTGTGGGGCGTCATCCGAGGACAACATGGATGTCAAGGTTCATCCATGTTCTAGCATGTGACAGGATTTCATTCCTTTTTAAGGCTGAATAATATTCCATTATATGAATATCCACATTTTGTTTATTCACTCATCTGTCGATAGACACCTGGGTTGCTTCCATCTCTTGACTAGTGTGAATAATGCTGCTATGAACATGGTTGTATATCTCTACCAGACCCTGTTTTCAATTACTTTGGGTATACCCAGAAGTGGGATTGCTGGATCATATCGTAATTCTATTTTTAATTTCTTGAGGAACTGCCATACTGTTTTCCATAGTTGCTAAATCTTTCTACATTCCTAATAATAGTGCACAAGTATTCCAATTTCTCTACATCCTCACCAACATGTTATTTTGTTTTGCTTTTTTTTTTTTTTGTGAGGAAGACTAGCCCTGAGCTAACATCTGCTGCCAATCCTCCTCTTTTTGCTGAAGAAGATTGGCCCTGGGCTAACATCTGTGCCCATATTCCTCTACTTTATATGTGGGATGCCGCCACAGCATGGCTTGATAAGTGGTGCATAGGTCCGCACCTGGGACCTGAACCTGCGAACCCCTGGCCACCGAAGCAGAGCATGTGAACTCATCCACTAAGCCACCAGGTCAGCCCCCATAGTTCAATTTTTTAAAAGTATATTAAAAGGTATAAAGTGGTAAATTACCTCCTTACCACTGCATCCTCTTTACCCAATAGGAAACAGGACTTATAAATTTCTTGGGTGTCCTTCCAGAATTTCTTTATACATACCCAACCAAATAAGAATATATCCCCCACCACACACACACACTTTAAGGAACTGTCACATACCCTCCCCTTGACTCACATTTTGCTTAGGAAGGCATCTTGGAGAGTCTGTCCCTTGTGTATACAGAGCTCTTCCTCATTCTTTCCACAGCTGCACAATATCCTACAGCATGGACGGACCATAATTTATCTAGCAAGTTTCCTACTACGGACATTTGATTCTTTTCCCCCTTTTGTTAGAACCAAATGAAAGCGTCTCCCATAGAACATTTCACTTATGTGAAACAAGTAAATAAATCAAATAAATTCCTAGAAGTGGAAATGCTGGGCTTGTATTATTTGCGATTTTGATAGAGTTTGCCAAAACAGATCTCGATGGATGTTGTACTCATTGGCACACCCACCAGCCATGTCTGTGCATGCTTGTTCCATTTTAAGCACTTTTCAAGGACAGTTTTTCGTATTCTGGATTTTCACCTGACTTGCTTACTTTAAAGATTTTATTTATTTACTTTTCCCCCCAAAGCCCCAGTAGATAGTTGTATGTCATAGCTGCACATCCTTCTAGTTGCTGCATGTGGGACGCGGCCTCAGCATGGCCGGAGAAGCAGCACGTCGGTGCGAGCCGGGATCCGAACCCGGGTCGCTAGCAGTGGAGCGCGCTCACCCAACCACCAAGCCACGGGGCCGGCCCCTGACTTGCTTACTTTAGAAAAGCACTGCGATTTAAACGGGGCTCCCCTTAAAACCCACGCAAATGCAAAACCACCAAAATACCCAGGAGCTGAGGAAGGAGGGGACACTCTTTTATATAGAAATGTAGTGTAAAGCCCTCCTTTTACACTAATGGATACCTACTATACACATCGATATATACTTCTAAATTGTGTATTATAGCTTTTACAATTCTACATTAATTAGTCCCTTATCACAGGTAATAAAGAAATTTTCCCTGTTTGTTTCTGAGTATGGAATTTTTTCCCCCCAGGCAGTTAAAAAAAAAATGATCTGATTTTTTTGGTACAGCTTTTGAGTTTTGTCTTGCTTAGAAAGGCCTTTCTCCCTTCCCTCATATTTTCTTGTTT